ACCAAGTCTTACTGATAACATCTGCTATATTTCTTAAATGAAACCTAAATTAGATTTGAATCAGTATTAGTACCCCGAAATGTTCATTTCACGGAGCATCAGGTCTGAGTCAAAGGTTCAGGATTTTCTGTCCAGACTCGTGCAAGAAAGGCGGCAGAGGGTCACCAGGAGGCCGCAGCGACTTTGTTTGGAGGACACTTCTGCAGAGCAAATCCATCAGCCTGGCTGGAAGTTCATCCAAGCCAAAGCCTCAAGTTTCATCCATTCATTTTCTTTACCTGCTTCTCCTTTCTGAGCCGCGGGGAGCTGGTCCCTGTCTCCAGCTGTCACTGCGCGGGAGGGGGGGGGGCATCCTGGACAGGTCGCAAGACTATTAAGAGACAACCATTCACTCTCTCACTCACACACAGTTACGTTCACTTGTTTTGTTCTGTGGGAGGAAATCTGGAGAAAACCCACGCGCACAGGGAGAACATGTAAACTCCACCCAGAAAGGCCCCAGGACGGGAGGCGAACCTGTGACTTTTYTTCCCCCTGACTGCTCGAACCACTACACTGCTGTGCTGCCAAGCTCTATAAAAACTCTAGGCAATAAATATTTATAAATTATTATATTTTTTTAAATGGGAGAAAGTCCCCTCAATTGTAAATTAAACATTGACCTTAAATGATAAAAGGAAACGTTGTAAAATAATTTATTCTGAGGTAAATAAATAAATAAATAAATAAATAAATAAATAAATAAATAAATAAATAAATAAATAAATAAATAAATAAATAAATAAATAATGCACATATTTTAAAGTTTGATCAGACGATCTGCAAATAGTTTGACAACATAAACATTATTGCTTGTGGTTTAATTTGTGTTTTTAAAGGTTTAATAGGAGGAACGCGTAAAAGTGTAAAAAAGGACCCCAAAATCAACAAAAGCGCAGTTCTTTATCAATTTATGGAATTAAAAAAAAAGATTTTCAGTTTAGTAACATCCACTAACATTATATTTTTAATAAAAATAATACTGTAATAATGCCTTTCAGCAATGTAATTGTTTGGTGTCGCGTGCAGTTCATTGTCACTGTAACTGAAAATGGGGGTGTAGGGTGTGTGTGGAGGGGGGGACCCCCTCATCACTTTCCCTGCGCTGTAGGTGGCCGTGTATATTTTTGTTTTAGAGGTGTTTATGTGATCGGGAAAGGACGGAATTGCTAGCAGACCTCTGATTGCGCAGCATTTGGGTCGCAGCGTGAATTTAAAGTGTTTTTGATGGGAGCCTCCGTCTTCAGTAATCAGCTGCACCAAAAAGAGAAGCTCTGGGAGGTTTGGACCAGATATTCTACCAGATATTTGCTTCTTGCTGTGAATGGCAATGAGAGAAAAAAATAAATAAATAAAAAATAAATCCTCATATGGGTTTATTGTTATTGAATATTATGAAGTCTTTCAAATTAAAAGCCTGAGATCCGACCAGCTGAAGCTTCATGAGTTCAGAGCCGCTGAGGAGCTTCAGGGTGTAAAATGTAAAAAGGTCGTTTTGCAATCTGCAAAAATGACAAAGTGTGTTTCATCTGATGTCAAACACTTAAAACCAGAACCGTTTCTGTGCTGACAACAAATCTTTAATCACTGAAAAAATGCAATTCAAAGTATCCTATTGCTTTTAAAAAGGTAAAACATTATTTTAGAGTGCAATGAAAAATAAAATAAAAGTCCTCATCTTGTTATTGAAGAAGATATGAAAGTATTTTAGAATGTAATATTTTATACTCTGCATTTAAACTTTTTTTAAATATACAAACAAATGCATTTACTAGACTCCTAAAATTAATTAAAAACTGAGTTTCTGCTGCAGATCTTGTTTTGTTGATCATCCTGCATCACCCTTCACCTGCACTGCAGTTATTACAGTACAATTATTTTATTGTTACTGTAAACCTTTAAACAAATTTCATGTTTGCAAATAACATGTATAACCCCCCACATTTTTTATTATCAATAAAAATGTTATAGATAAATAACCTATACCAACATTTTCTTGTTAAAAGCATGAAAAGCAGCAGACATCTTACAATATAAAGTTTTTCTTTTCTTTTCTTAAAATAAAATATACTTTCAATCTAGCTGTGAACTCTCTATTTTGAAACATTTTTTGCAAACATTAGAATGACTAAGAGTTTTATACAAGTATGTATTTTTCTTTCTTCTTTTTCTTCTTCTTCTTTAACTTGGTCAGTAGGTTACCACATAATTTAACATGAAGTACAGTGGGGAGAGTTTGGCAGGGCCAGAGTTTTTATAAAATCCCAACTGTCCAAACGTGGTCAACACTCACAGAGTAAATGTTTCATTATTTGTCATAACTCTTCCTAGAAAGAGGTGTTTTAAAAACCCGACAAAAACACACAGAGATGAAGGAAAAATAGGAACATGGGAAAATGGACGTTATTTTACAATTAAAGCGTAAAAGGTGCGGCTTAAATTTAAAAATATTTAAAGTTTCTATTTCCACTGCTGCTCAAAAAATGCTGCAACAAAAAACTTGTGATCATTTATATCTTAAATTAAATAACTGGAATATTTTAATTTATTTTTATTCATTGGCAACATTATAAAATGAAATAAAATAAACAAATATTTTGTATGSATCCTGAATAATTTTACTTGCATCCTAAAGGTTTTTAACTGAATTACACTTTGTATTACAATTTCTGACTTAAATTAGTAAACTGCCTAAATTTATAACTTTGTTTGTAGTTCAGTCTTTGTGTGTGGTCTGCTATGTTTCACTTTAAAAGCAACAATGAGAACCAAAACCTATTATTTTAATTTATGTGCATTCATATGCTTCCATTATGCTCAGGTCATTTTCAGTTCTTGCAGTTTTCATAATTTTGTGTCTCTTATATCGTGAGTAAAAGCAAATTTGTTGTGCTACTGTTAATTTACTGACATAAAACAATATTAGTAGATGAGTTTTCTGAGCGAAAACCCAGTCTGAACAAGGCCTGAAACTGTTTCCTTCCTGCTTTTTTCCTTCTTTTACTTGTTTCCCTCCTCGCCGTCGGTTTGGCCTCGTCATGAAGACTCGGTCTCACACAGTGAGTGGGAGCCTGTTTGGTGCCCCACCCTGCAGTCCTGCACACCTCCCAGAACGGCTCTATCATGGCCTGTCTAATGTAGGGAGAGACATCAATAACGAGAGCTGAAGCAGAAACCACAGCGGAGAACACAAGAGAGACGGGGAGGGCAGGCGCAGGCCACAACTGGCTCTGCTGCAGGTTAGCTCCTTTGATACGGCCTCGATAGAAGTTTGATGGGTGCAGATGGGGCGACATGGGTTTATATGTACATGTTTACATAATATCTATGGTGTTTACGCACAGCCCACCAACCCTCTTTTTCTTTTCTCTGAAGGGGGATTTTCCTGTGGCACGCTGCTTCGGAATAAGCAATTAAAAATTCCCAAACAGCACACCACAATGGGAGATATCGTTTGTGCAATGTGTGTTCCGTGTCCCTCGCAGTTTTTGTCTGGAATGGTTTGACTATTTTTAATCTGCACACAACCAAATCCACCTACAGAGAAACCACAAATTGAATGAAAGAGACTGGGGATGAGTGGGCACGGTAATTGCCCATTGTGGAGCTCAAMCTCCTCTCTTCTGTCATAAACAGATTGGGAAGTTTTACAACTTGATACTCAGTGCTCCAGTGGATTTTGAAATTGGGGCATATCCTCCTTGTCTGTGGGAATGCATGGCCAGGCAGCGGTCGGAATCAGCCAGGAATGCTTTGGGATGGTAACTGGATTCAGTTGGAATGCCCGTCTCTCCACAGCGGAACACCAGGGTGGGAAAAAGGCCCAAAGCATTTCCTGAGTGGACGGGGGGGTCCAAACGAAGCGTCACATGCGTGGATTCATGTGACAGGGACCCTGCCAGGTTCAGCCCATGACACCAAGTGAGGAGCTGTGGTAGGCGATGGTGGCAGTGCCAGGGACGGAAATGAAAAGATGTCGGAGAAAAGGCTGGAAGGATGGCGTAAGATGTTAGATCTTTACAGGAACAGGTCAGATCTTCAGGGTGGTAAACAATGAATGTTTTACCTGCTGCAGACTGTTGTCCAAAACCAAAAAGGACTGGCAGCATCTTTAAAACTGTTTACATGGATATAAGTAAGTGGCATAAATGGCCAGTTGGGATAAAAATGCATCACATAAATGCCTGAATATTATGACCTGATTCAGCTTGATCATTATGAATTTGTAATCTGAAAGAGAAGGGTGGTTTATGCTGATTGGTAATCTGAACATCATGCATGTAAACTCAGGATAACTTATCTGAAGAACATAGATGTCAACCTGATGTATTTCCGCCTGGCTAGATGCTAACATGTCGGGGAAGAAAAAAACTGGYGAAACAGTTCAAAATTATTGAACACTGGTTGAAAGTGAAGAAAACACTGAGTTATTAAGATAATGAAAAGCTGGAGGAAGAACATAAAATGTTTGTTTATGTTCATCAAGGAAGAAGAACTTCTTCTTCTGTTGTTTTTTTAGGGAGWCTTTACAACTCTGCACATGTCAAGACTTCAAATGAAACACTCGCCACGATCGGATTCATTCATTTTGTGCCCACATTTGAAGTATTTAATCTGAATGCATTTCAGCCCGATGAAACAATTTTGTGCATGTAGCCATAACTCACATCAATTTTAATGCAAACTTTTTTTTCAGTTTTCTAGTTATTTACACAAAGTTCTTATTCAAAAAGTGCAAACAGCGGCAGCAGCTAGGTGTAGCACTTCGGGCCAAACTGTCATTATTTTTCTGACAGACACAAAGTAAAAAAAAAAAACAGTTTCTCAATAAATGCTACTGATCCAGATATTATTTTAATAATTTAAAAGTGCGCGCGTGTGTGTGTGATTTGGATGTATGTTTATGGGAATTTATATTTATTAAATTAAAGAGAAAAAAACTTAATTGAAACAGTGGGCATTTCAAACTCAGCTTCAACAAAACAGTTTTATATAAGATATCTAACTGGTTCAGGTACTATAACAAATGTCTTTCTTGTTAACACTTTGGATTTTTATTGTTTGTAAAAGGAGGGATTAGAAGCTGCATGTTACCATATGCCCGCTTTTTTGTGCACATGCTCATTTGTACGTCWGAGTCCAGTTTTGTGTCTGTAATCTCTGTCTGTGCCTGCATGTGTTCATGTGTCGCTGTTAGCAGGAGACGGTGGCTGACTAAATATTTGTATATATGTTAGTGGACAGGCTCTGCTCCCTCTGGCTTGTGTAAATGTTAACGATGCTCGGAGAAATCTTACCCTGTAATTGTCAAAAGGGCTTTTTTTCCTTTCACCTGCTACCGGCCTCTTTCCGTTCGGTCTGCTCTATAACAATGGCACAGAGAACGCTGCGGAGTGCAAAGTGATTGATGCTAGACTCTTTTTGGCCCGACTTCAGATGGGGGCCTGACAGGAAGTGGCCATTCCTCCCTTCCACCCTAACAAGGCTGCAATAGCGTGAGGAAAGGAAAGTGCTGATCGGGAATCTCTTAAACGTCCCATTTTTAGCTAAGTGCCAACCAATCTAAAAGACAAGTATAAACAAAGCTTTCGAGACTAATGAACCAGCTGAAACACAGGGAAGTTGATAGACGCCACACAACCGAACCCAACTTTATCCGCTCCGTCTCATCCCCGACCATCAGTCGGTTTGTCGGTTTTTGTCCTGTCAGGGAGGGAAGAGACACAGGCTCATCTCTGCTGCATTCTTTCCATTTTACCGAAGAGCTGTGTGGTACAGAAGGTAATCTATCACCTAAACGGCCCGTCCTTCTCCCTGCTTCTCCTGACTCTGTTTCTCTTTCTCCTTCCTCCAGGCTCGAGTGGGCAGGCGTGCGGCTTTGGCCACAGGAAGCCGCGAATTCTTCGAAGAATGGAAGACGTCTCGTGGGGGAGACGTGCCGCTTSGCCCCCCCTCCCCACCCCCACAGCACGCCCACACGCCACCCCAAAATGACCCCTGACCCTTTCACGTGTTTATATCAGACCATCGTGGAAGTGCGAAATAGTGATGAGTCACTCTGGCCGAGTGTTTACACTTCGGAGTCACGCAAGGAAGGAAATCAGCCACGGTCTGCTAAAAGTGGCGAGGTGAGAGAGAGAAGCTGTGATTTTACCTCTCAGAGACATTTTTTATTCCTCGTCAGCCCAGAAAACAGCCGAATTAGCAGCACAGAGGACTGGAGTCRAGAAAAAAGGCAAGCAAAGGTCAAAACGTGTTGGACTAAGGGCGTGGCAAAGTGCAGGCGTATGATATTTTCAGAGAAAAACCAGAATGACAAATTATATGAAATTTTAAAGGTGGTAATTTTTTTTTAATATATGCTTTTGTATATGTCCCAGTTCTCTTGTAGACCAGGCTGTGATAACTAATGTCACAGATGTTTCTGACTTTCTTTTTTGTTTATGTCAGAAAAAAATGGTTTTAATTTGCCGACTGGACCTTTTTACTGTAATTATTCTTAATCTTTTCATTTACAAAAAAAGTCCTTTGTTCCTTTTGATTAATTAACACAGAAAAACAATTGAAATGTTACAACCATAACACCAGAGGTGTGCTGACATTTACTTCATTTCAGTGCTTAAGTAACTTTTTGAGGGTCTTGTATTTCTTTTAATTTGTAACTTTTACCTTTATTTTGTTACATACAAAACATAAATATGAAGCTTTTATTTCATTACTTTAAACTTTACACACTTGTTACACTCTACAAATTTAAATATGACAGGAATGSAGTTGTTTCTGCACTCTGAAAAGTGTTAAATCTACTTTACCAAGTTAAGTCAACTGGTTCCAGCCGAGTTGAGTAAATGTAAAGCAATTTACTCATCTCAGTTTAGTTGAACCGCTTGACTTAATTTGGTCAAGTTATTTCTTAGTGTCAATTTTTTTTTTACTTTCCGAATGATTTTTTGCAGTTTGGACTTTTACTTAAGCCCCTTTCTTATGAGTGAAATTAATTTTTGCCAAATAGGCCTACTTATTTTTATGAAAGTGTTTTTTACTTTTACTTAATTACTTTTTTCAAGTAATTTATACGCCACTGCATAACACCACAAAAATGATGTGCACTTGTTTTATTAAACTTTCCAGTAGCCTTGTTTTAGTAACTGCTGCATTTTGTTGTTTCTTTTCCATAATCTGATATTTTATTTCTCATTGTGTTCATTTGTAATTCTGTAAGACCTCTAACGTCTGCAGCGTCTTTGTAATGTTACTAGCTTTTATTCTAAAAGAGAATTTGGATTTTGATTGATGACAGAGTGTCAGTGTYTCCACACGCCTCTCAAACAGTTTTGACGTGAAACTTTCAGCATTTTCATTATGTATGCCAAACATCAGGTCATCGGTTTATTTTGACACTATAGGTGACTGCATCTCCGAGGGATATAAATTATTATAATTTTACATTTAGGGAAGTGCTCACAAGTGATTTTATGCCTGTGTTATTGCAGTTGTAAACACTTAACACGTACCGTGTCGTCCTCTAACTTTATATTCGCTGTCCTGTGAGCGGTGTTTACTGCGGCTTCCACCTCTTTTTCAAACACAGCATCATTGTTGTCCTCAAGGCCGCTGGATTTCAGATTGCACAGTGACACAGCTGTAATTGGTGCAGTTGTCTTCACTGAATAAAAGTGACTTTTTTTTTTTTTTGCGGGGGTTGTTTTTCCATCACTGTTCTGGTAGCTTCATTTCTGACTGTGGTGAGGATCTTTTTACACACCGTCACACACACCGCCACAATGAGAGAGTCAGAACAGTTATTGCTGTCAGAGACTTTGATTGATTGTTGTGTTTATCACCATGTTATCAAAAAATCAGGCTCATCACAGCTGAGCTTAAAGCTCCTAATTCCAGGCAACTTTGTGTTAATTAAAGGTTCATCTAACAGGTTTATTTTTGCGGTTTTACATTTTAAAAATATGGCTGTCTTTGTTTTTAAGGATGTGCTGATTACATGTGCATGTTGTCTGGACTGTATTGTACTTTCATCATAAAGAGCCTGTTATGGTCCTGCAAAACACTGTTATAAGAAGAGAGGGTTAATGAGTCTATGTTCTCTGGATCAGCAGAGATTTATTCTTGCTTTGTTAATAGAGCCCGCGGCGAGCTGCGTTTGTGTACTTCTGAGGTAAACACAGTCATGGCAAAGTGGACACGTCGCTGAGTGTGTCCTGACTGGAGACGGAGAGCGCCGTGGCACCGTACTTTCTGAGGGTTAATGTGATAAATGGCCATTTGGAAATGGGTCATGAATTAGGGTTAAACAGCTCCTTTAAAAGCCCGAGCCTGAGCCGTCGCTGTGGGCAGTTTGATTGAGGAATCAGTCAGGTGGCAGATGTTTCATGTTGGAAGTCTGTGCTGCTCTCCCTTTCTAGCAAATGAGCCAAGAATTGATGGAATGACCGAACAGAGCAATCCATAAAAATGTAACCTCATGAAATCAAAACAGTAAATGATAAGAAATACACAAATCAAATCATTTGTAAAAAAAATTATTTCTGCTGTTAGGTATTGATCTTGAGGTCAAATGATGTTGATAGATGTGGGCACTTCATTAGATTTACTTCTGAGACAAGTACAAGACGGTAATAACAATAAAACAAAATCCATCTTGGTTTGTGAAAAGTTGTTTTAGAATTTTGTTCACAAACTAAAAYGCTCAGTGATATGTTGACTGTTTTATATTAACCTCCTGCTGCCCTTGGGTCAAAATGACCCATCAGTAATGCATACAAAACTAAAAAACATTTCACATCTGCCATATTATTTTACTGTGAAGCATATTTTTTATTGCACTAGATGCTGGTATTTTGGAACAGGGCRTTTGCTTTACAAATATTTGTTTTTATATTTTCAATAAACTGCTATTAAATACAATCTGGAACATTTGAATATTCTTCATTATATATTTCTACAAAAAAGAAAACCCCACAAGTAAACAGTGTCAGAAAACCAGTGGTGGGCACAGTTCCACTAAAGCATTAAAGCACTAATAGGGGAACTAATTTCCTGATTTGTGCTTTAGGGCTTTTACTAATTTGAAAGTGTATTAGTGGATTAGCACTTGCTAAATTTAGAAGCTAAATTTAGAAGCTCTAACTGAGGTCTATAAATGTTATTGATCAACAATAATGAGGGTGAAAGCTGTTACACATTTTGTTTATACGTTTGTCACTTATCCACCAGGTGATAATATATTGACAATATATGAACCCAACTAAGGCTGTGGAATGTCAATGATAAGTTTTAAGAGAGCAACATGTGACTCATGTTGTCTGTTGAAGAATATTCATGGGTTGACTGGGTTATTTTAGTGCTTTAGAATTAGCTTTTGCTAAAACTTTCAGTGCATTAGTGCTTTAGAATTAGGGGACATAAATATTTGAGTTAGTGTTTTAGGGGTTTAGATTAATGCTGCCCACCACTGCAGAAAACCCTTATTTTTTATTATATTATCGTTGATGTGTGATWCAACTTATTTGATTTAAGTTCAGCAAATGAATTCTGTTATTTGTCTAAATCAGAAGCCACTCCTGGACCGTGATGATTTCACTGAGATGCAGGAATAACGAGTTATGTTGAAGATGCTGGTGGTCCCTTTATTTACATTAGTTGTAGTTTTCTTACTTTAAACAACATCTGTATCATTATTATTTGGTTATCTACTGTAAATACATAGTCACCAAATACTCACTAACATTTAACACGTTCAATATAAAACTGTTACATGCTGCCTTTGTCTCTGTTTGAAGTAAAACAAATTTATAAGACATACTATCATCAATAAAAGGTTCTGTGAATTTTATGAATGTCTTATAAATATCTTTACCCAACTTGCCCCAACATAAAGTCAGTGTTTAGACAATAATTTATTGCTGTTGTGCCACTGAAAAAAAGACAATGTCACATTAATGAATTGACTGAATTAATACATTTTCATTTTTGCTGAATAATAATTCATGTTACCTGTATTTTATTGTATATTTCAATGTTTGAGATTCAGTCAAGATACAAAGCTTCAACGTTTAATAAWGCCAGCCTAATTATTGTGGAGCCAGAGGATCAGATGTTTCTTTGCGTTCCAACGGTCTTATCACAGGTGTTGGGAAGAACGGACAATCAGCCACATGGTTTTACTTTGACATCTGCTAATTCCAGGGAATCAATCCTAAATGACACCTATGGGATACACAGAGTGGATTTCCCTCTGATGCAGATTGGCGGTGGTTTGCAGATGAAAGACAGTAAAATAAATAAAGCTGTGGTGAGCAGGCAGAACTTTTCTGTCCGCACACTACAACCATAATGGGATACATACTGACATGAGGGAAGAGGTGGAGGCCTGCTTCTGTTTTTTTTTAATACTTAGATTTTTTTTGCCATGGTTACCAACATTGATGAACCCCTGCTGTTCATCCCTAATACATGTTTTGACACTTGTTACAAAAAAAGAAAGAAAAAAAAACGAAAAAAGAAAAGTCATATATTTTTCAGTTTTAAAGGTTAGGACCTAACAAGTAGAATAACAGCGATTAGCAGAGAACAGCTCTGTTCCTTGTCACCCTCCTCTGTCTGCCGGCCCCCACTGCTGCTGATTTTCTTTTAATCCTAACACGAGTCATTAAATCAAACTCAGCAGTATCAAATGGCTTTTTAACCTCCCCCAATCAATCTTTTCATCAGCTGCTGTGTCGCTGCTTGGCCTGCAGTGAGAATGGTAATGGTAAGACAATCCTTCCTTGACTCATCCTGGCTGGAATCATGCATGATACTAAAAGTTACACTGACCTGCTAATCCGGCAGCGTGCCAATGCATTTTCAATTTTGCTGTGTGCAACGTTACATTCATCAGAAACACTTCAGTATTATTTTTGACTCCTACTAGTGTTTAACTACTTTTTTGTAATTGGAAATAAAGTTTTTTCATTTTGCTTAAAATTTCTAGCCTGGCTCTTGCCTTCCTACACAGTTCTGCTCAATTCTAGTTTTCCTTCACTGCTTCATCTGGGATTTCTCCCATTGACAAGGATTTCTTCAGGAGAATTTTCGTCCAGGCCAATCAGAGAACAAAAGGCGGAGTTTTGAACAACGCTGATTTTCTGCGCAGTGTCTGCTAGTTATTTTAGCATACGGCAGTGGAGGAAGTGAATGAAGCCAGTCCGTGTTGATAAGGCTTCCAAATTAAATTAAATTTGTCTGACAAAGCAGTAGCTCTCATTTACAGTCATCTCATTCTGCTTGGTATTTTTCTCCTCTTAGTAGAGTTGTTTACAGCGCACGCGATTTCCAGTTAGCTTCTTAGCTTAGCCTCCTTCAGTGGAGCTGGCACGCATACGTCGCGGCCAACCGATCCAATCATTTTAAACTTCAACAGAGGCCACGCCTCCAGCAAGAATCGCTTCTCTATAGCCGAGAGTCCTGACCCTCTGTACGAAGCAAAGTGAAGTAAAAGGGTCTGGTTTTTGCCAGGCTACAAAATTTGAGGCTTGACACTAAAACAGTGCACAGAATGGGTCTGTTTTGAAATTTGTGTACAGATGTTTACTGGGACATCGCACCAATCAAATGTCTTTTTGTAGTAACGATAACACCACATTTAAGTGTTTCAGTAAAGTACTATGTTCTTTTAGCAACTCCCTTCTGCAGGAGCCATAGCGAACTTGCACAAAAGATTTGGCAAATGTTTTTTTTATGTCCTTGATTAATTTGGTCATGTTAGTAAAAAGATACTWGGATGTCAAAAACAACAATAAAGGAACTTACACAATCCAGCTCCACATTTAGTATTTTTAAAATGAACAAGCCAAAGTTTCAGCACTGGAACACTAACTCAAGCCTAAATCAATTAAGAAAAAATTAAAATATATAGCAGGAGGATGTAACACTCTCTGTAGCTCTGTGGTATATAATAAGTCACATATTTGTTAAGTTGAACCCTGAATCCCTTGGAGCACCTACACTGTGTATGGGCTTTTCAGCAAAGCAGTAAACCGTCTGTAGCCAACAAATCCAAAATGTCCAAAAATAAGAATATTTTGCATATTTTCAGATGTTTGTAATCTGTCAGTTTAAACATTTGAGTACAAACACATTGGATGCAAGTGAAGCAATGTGTCCTAATTTGCGGTTAAACAACCGACCCATTCAGTGAGTCAGTCTAATTAAAGGCACAGGAACGTTCYTGCAGATAATACAGAAGCATTATCAAGGTTTTGTCACTGGTGCCACTGAAGTGATTTATACAAATTCTGGTCAACTCCCGTCTGATGCACTTCAACAAATCACAGCCTGAGGCCTGGTAAAGCCCCCCTCCCCCCAGTCATCCCTGTCTCCCAGTTTGACCCCACACAGAGTATGTAGTCGCAGGGTATAGCACCCAACAATATTATCAATCAAAGCTCAAGAGTCCACAGGTCAAACCGTCCTCAGCGAAGGAAGGTGCGAGCCGAAGATGTTCAATAAAGTCTAAAAATGTCTGGCAGAGTCAAACTGTGGCTGTCAGTCAAATTTGTAAAGTAAATTTGTTTTTTTTGCAGATTCATTTGTTAAAATTTTTAATAATGTCATGAAGTTTTTTTAAATAAATAAAGTGTCTGTGTGCACCAGTAGGTCTGTGTGACCCGAGACCCAGAGTGATAAGACCTCWATAACTCTACTTTATCCCCCTGCTCATTATCAGTCCCTGTCCCAGCTCTGCCCTGAACCCTCAGGCTGCAGCAGGACACGCTGCTCTTCACCTTCCACAGCCCAGAGATTACCGGGGAGACGGGCAGGCTGAGTCAAACTAAGCCTAACACTTCACAGCTCCTTTCTGTGGGAGGCAGAGGTGGGTGTGGGACATGTTTTACAGTAATTAACCAAAAAGGAAGACGACTAGATCCACTTAAACTAAACAGGTTGTTTAATTTCACGTTTTTAAACGACCCATTGTTTCCACTTGTTTCACASTTTGCACGATTTTTGTGCAGTATTTTGCAGTTCTTTTAGATTTTTCACATCTGTTATTAAATCACTATTTTTACCTGTTTTTATCAGACTACATGAAAACATTGTTTGCATTTTATCTATATCAATATGAACAAAATGCTTCAATTAATTCTAGAATTGCTGATTTCCAGAGTTACTGAGACTCTTGTTCTGCTCAGCTTTGGTATTTGATGTGAACTTAAATGTGAATATGAAAAAAAAAAACATCCAATTGTTTTATCCCTGTTTTTTATGTGCTGCTTGGCACATTTTATTTATTCTGCATCTTGATCTTAAAGTGGCTGTTTTTATAACTTGTGTTAAATATCATAGTCTGGTCTTTACATGGAATTGTTAAAACCTTTGTTGACTGTTTTTCACTTCTCGGCTCTACAGGTTTATTTTTATAACTCAGATTTCTCAAAGCTTGTTTTTATATTTTAGTTTTTCACTGTGAATGACTCGTGTATTAATTGTGTTCCCTCCAAATATTATTTGTCTGTTTCGGTGGGACTGAGGATTTCCTTAAGCTATCCCATTGCTTGTTTATACATTCATGTTTATGTGTGGAAAGGGGAGGTCATGGCTGTGTGTGTGTGTGTGTGTGTGTGTGTGTGTGTGTGTGTGTGTGTGTGTGTGTGTGTGTGTGTGTGTGTGTGTGTGTGTGTGTCTGTTTCTGTTTGGTGTGTGAGACGTATGATGATGGAAATGACTAAAATGAAAGAGCTCAGTTTTTTTCTTTCAGTCACTTGGATCATTTCAGCCTGAAGTCCAGAGAAACATTTATGAATTCAATGACCAAAATATTTTAATCTGTTTATTTTAGAGCTTCTGCAACAGCAAAGAAAATGTTACAAGAAGTCATGATGTGTCATAATTCATTATTCTAGATTGTAACAAACTGYGTTTTG